GCTGCTGATGGCCTATCAACACGAGGGTATCATCATCTCAGATGTCAGTACTTCGGTACTAATATGATTTATAACTTTCTAACATTGTCCGTTGATGAATTAAGAAATTGTCAAGAAAATAAGGTTTTACCTCCCTCAGGCAAAGTTAGATGGGTTTGGTTATTTTTTTATATCCTTTTTGGACATATAGCTCTACAACTGTTTCGGCTCTTATACATCCTTGGCTTTCAAGTATTCGGCTTTGAGCGTTCCCGATGAAGGTAAATCTAGAAAAGCGCTACACATGAAATTTATAACGTGTTTTTCTGCTTTTTCTTGATTATTTTGAAATGATACAATTTCTGCTTTTCTATTACTAGTATAGTCTTTAAGATTATAGCCATGAAAGCCAAAATGGGTTTTGAATCGTCACTTAAGGGATATAAGATAAGATAAAACAATTGCAATTATATACTTATACACTTCGCCAAGCACGCAAACAATTAGTAAAATTAATTGATGGCCAATAACTCCTATTAGACCACTTTCTGATTTTGTCCATGTTGAATTATTTTTAGGCGTGTCTAGCTGATCTTTTTTGAGTTTCTTCCTCTTCTTCTGTATGTATGTTTGTGTTCTGGCATATTGGACGGGGACGGGAAATCATGCGGTGTGTCCTTTTTATATCTACTGATGATCTATTGTAGTTTTAAAGATTATAGCCAATATATAAAAATGAATGAAAATCGCACTGAGATGCAAAAACTTCTCTTAGGGTGCAACTTCGAAACTTCGGTAATATTGACCTTTTTGTAGATTTAAGTCTATATCTATCACTTAAATGGGTCTTATTAGATAATCAGTTTGCTGTTTAAAGTTTCTCTACTTTGTAGTTTTCAAGATTATAGACACACAAAAACACGCAAATAATAGATAATAAATAGTCATTTAAGGCAATAAGTCATATAAGTATTCAACTAACGATCTTAGGCAATGTCTATTTTTTTAGTAAAAGTTGTCGTGAGGGTCATTTATGCCTTTCAGATTTCAAGAAAATAGCGATAATACAAAAATCGAATTTAAAGGAAAATAAGTCTCAAAAGGATTCGAATGAAGATTTCGGCTATTAGAATTTTATAGAGCTCTTGTCTTGCTTGCTATTTTTGCTTCTATCTATTAAAGCTTTCGGGATAATATAAAAAAAAAATGCTAAAATTTGCAAAAAATTAGAGATCTCATGGGCAATAACTCCAAAATAGGTCTATTATTTTTTCAACACAGTCATGTTTGTTGACGAATTAAAATGTCGGATACAATTTATTTTCTAGACATTACCAAAGAGCATTCACACAATGTATGACTTATTGTCTTAAATGACTATTTTTATCTACTATTTGAGTTTTTTTTTCGCCTATAATCTTGAAAAATACAAAAGAGACACCCTTTAAACAGCAGAATGATTAGCTAATAAGACCTATTTTTGGCGAAAACTAAAGGAGATAGATAGAAACTGTGGACAGCAAGCTATGATAAGCCAAATAGAATCTACAAATAAGTCAACATTATCGAAGATGTAAGTCGTCTCTAATAGGAGTTATTGCATTTCAATTCGATTTTCATCCATTATTGCATTTTGGCTATAATCTTGAAAACTACAATAGTATTATCAGTAGATATATAGAGGACATGTACTACACGATTCCTGGTCCAATATTCCAGAACATCAACATACAGGCACTCCTTCTTCCAAGATTGTATACGGATATGGAACAGCCTATTTTGGTGGAAAGTACCTTCCTAGTTGCCATCAGACAGTTGAACTGAGCTGCATTATCTTATGGTTCCACCATTGGACTGTTAACTTGCATTTGTAAATATTTTCTCGCACCTTGTTTTTGTCACAGCCAGAAGAAGAACTAATCAGCTAGACACGTCTACTACTAACTCAACAGGGACAAAATCATCAGTTCTTCTTATAGGAGTTATTGCCCATCAATTAATTTTACCAATTTTCCGCGTGTTTGGCGAAGCCTATAGTCGATAGAGAGAGAATGTCAACACATAAACAATTATATCAGCAAAACAATATATACAAATAAGTTGAAATAACAAAAAACTTTAGTCGCTTCATTTTAGTTCATATATCCCTAAGTGACGATTTTTAAACCATTTTGGCTTTTATGGCTGTAATTTTAAAGACTATGATAGAAAAAGGAAAAACTGTATCCTTCAAAAATAATCTGGATGATATCTACAACTGAGTTGAGAAAACTGAAAATGTCAATCAACTCCTCATATGCATTATTGCCATTTTTATCCATTTTCATTGGGGCTGCTCTTTGCTGTTATCTTGAGAAATACAATAAATAGAGAGAAACTGTATGAACAGCAAAAATAACCATTAAAACTATTATGTTACATTTTTGTGTAAGACTTGTTCTCTGCGATTATCCTTAATCTGACTTATTATTTAAAAATGAAGTTAACCTTCCACTCCCTTGTTTAACAAAGGTGACATAATGTTTGTTTTTCTTGTGGTAATTTGCGGTGTCTCCATCATAGACAATTATCTCTGAACAAAAAAATTACCCCTGATTAATTGATTGTTGGTTGATTAACGTCCAGTGCAATTACCGTTGAATATACCACTACTATATCAAAGTATAAAGGTAAAAAAATGCCAGAGACAAGTGCCTGTGGTCTCCATTGATTAATATTTAACTTGCTGTTACTTTATATTCTAATTTTAATAAAATTACCTTCTTTATCATATAACTTGCTTATATCAATTCTAAATAGTAATCCCCCAACAGTATTAAAAACTGTTGTGAACTATTTGAATGAATGCTTGTTGGTGAGAAACTCATTATTAAAAGGTACTTGATTTCTTTCTTTTTTTTAAATAATCTATATGTTTTTTTTTATATTTTTATATATTTTTCTCATACTTATCCACTGTCACTCCTTCATTGTACATATGTTATTGTAGTTTGTCTGTATTTTGTTGCCATATATATAACCATTTATGGTTAATGTGTTAGTGCTAATAAAGTTATCTTATCTTATATCGGTTTATATCTGTGTCGATCAATAAAAAAAAACATTATCCCATTTTTTTCCCAATTTTCTGTTAGTTGTAAGTGTGTTTCCGTTAGGATTATTTTCGTCATTTCAAAATAGGTTGTTTCTTCAGAAATCTGTATATCTTTCATCTAATTATTTCTCCAATCTGGTTAAAATTCAGATCTATCGCAACTCGCGTGCTCATTGAATCCTATATATAGCATTAATCGGTCGTTTCTCTGAGAACTAATTTTTATTTCCCCATATATCCGATTGGATCTGGATCAAACCTACTTAGTGAGCGAAAAATGGCTGCCACTTTTTCCAATGAAAGTCTCTAGTTCACTATTTAAGGCCTTTTTAAGTATAAACGACCACAAACGACTCGTAAAGTTTAAACCATTGTTTCTTTTTGAGTTGCCTCTCTTGTCTCATCTTAAAGTTTTGTGTCATCTATAAATATCCATTATTGCAATTATTTTTAGACTAAAAATGATCAAATAATAAAAATAAAAGATTTAGAGTAAATATCAATGGCCCAGCAACCCAAGTTCATTAGTAAACAAAAGCAGACATATAGAAATCACCTTACTTTAAGTTTTAACAATGGAAAGAGCCGTCACTAAGAGAATAAAATATCCGTTACAACAACGAAACACAAAAAAAAAGAACATGTGCCACAATCACGTCCCCTTCTCCTTGAATGTGACCTACCGAATTAGACCTATCACCGGGTCTGTACTTACATGAGCAACACGATGGGTGTCACATGTGGAGCAGGATCTGCTTACCCTTCCGGGGCACCTGAGATCAGCCCTGGTTGGGTTGTTGGCGGGGTTCGTGTTGACCAGTCTTTGGTTTCTATGTTCTGCTTTGTATACTTTTGTTAGTCTTTTGATTGTTTCAATTTTTTTTTCCATGGCATTGTCCGTTTGTTTTTTGGATTAATAAGATTGAATGTCCTTTTGATATTTTTCGCCTGTCTTTTTCGATTTTTTTTTTTTTCATACTCTAGTCATTTTATTAATTATTTTTTATAAACCCTATATCACACATTTATTAGATATCACATGCTATTGGCTAGATTCGGTCTTATAGTCTATCACCGGGTCTGTACTTACATGAGTAACAAGACGGGTGTCACATGTGGAGCAGGATCTTCAACCCCTTCCGGAGAACCTGAGATCAGCCCTGGTTGTTGGCGGGGTTCGTGTTGACCAGTCTTTGGTTTCTATGTTGTATTTTGTATACTTTTGTTAGTCTTTTGATTGGTTTTTATTTTTTTGCCATGGCATTGTCCGTTTGTTTTTTGTATTAATAAGATTGAATATCCTTTTGGTATTTTTCGCCTCTCTTTTTTTTTGCATACTATGGTCATTTTTTTCATTGTTTTTTATAAGCCCTATATCACACATTTGTTTAGATATCACATGCTATTTGCTAGATTCGGTCTAATACTAGAAGTCTATGGATTGTTGACTCGGACGACAGTCTCGACTACCAACCGAAAAGTTAAATTGGCCATGATGAGAATTGGTTGTACCTTTCTTGTTTGTTTTCGTTTTGTTTTAATTGTGTGTGTGTGTTTTTTTTTGTAAGGGGGAGGGCAGTATTTAAAAATAATTGTTTAGTAATTTGATATTATTACTATTATCAGAGACATATAATACAATTGTATTATATGTCTCTGCTATTATTCATTATTATTTTTAGCGACGTATGTAATCACATGACTTGAAATTTATATACTTTCAATTCCAAAAATACAATAGGTGAATATAGGTAAAAGTAAGATTCAAATTTAAGTCAATTCAAAGAGAAACACAAAATGTTTGTTCTATTACTTCCTCACTTCTACAAATACTTAAACTATTAAACATTTTTTGTTAGAAAATGCTATACCAAATTATCGAGCACCTGCGATTGGCGGATGTTTCAATGCCGTTCCGTCACACATTTCTAAATTTAGTTAGTCAGCTAGAAAATGTCAATACACAACAGATCATGTCAGAATAAGTTGAGATTTCAACACAATGTCATCGTTTACGATTATTCTTACAATTTCTTTAGTGTTAGGATTCTTACCTAAGACAAATTCACATTTAAATTTATATCTGGACCCGAAAGAGACATTGCGGTTATTGGGTAAGTTGTTGTTTACTTGGTTGTTTCTGGCAGTACACATTTTATTTGTTTATTGTCTGCTACACAGCATGGATGATACACTGATATTGTTTTCTTCAAAAGTAACTTTGTATTGTTTTAAAAAGAATATTAAGAAAAATGTAAAACTTAGAATTAAATTACATTATTTTCAGGTTTTGTCAAAATATAATTATAGCCTGAGATTACAAAACTTTGTAACATTGTGTTATAGTAATCTTAGCTAAAGCTTTAGTGGCTCATTGTAATTTTAGAGAAATATAAAATACTAAAATTGAGATGACATTTTGTTTGCTAAATTTCAAACAACAAATATTTCATAAATAAAATATTATTTTTGATAGCTTTGAAAAACACTTATTACATAAATAATATAATATAAATTTGTATAATAACTTTACAAATCCTTGAGAAAATTAAAAAAAAAATATATAACAATCAAATAATTTTTTCAACTGATTTCATTCATAATAAAATATTTCTAGTAACATATATAAACATGGAGTTTGTGGTTTTTAATTTAAATTTTCCCTCGGTGCCTCATAAAGTGGAAATATTACAAAATTAAGATAATATATATATATATATATATATATGTATGTTCTTGAAAGTTGTAGGGTCAAAATGAAATATGACTTTAATAGAAAAAAGCCCAAAGAAAGAAGCTTTTTCTATTTGCAAATAAACATGCAAATTTGTTCTCTCTTTGGCTTTAACATTTCACAGAATATTCCTATAATAGTAACATTCTAGCATTTAAACACAAATTTTATAAAACTTTGTAATACACATGTAATTCTTTTTTATATAGACCAAATAAGGCCTATTACAGTGACTCCTTTTTATTTGAATATGGAGAATTACAAACTAGACAATTCAAATTATTATGATTTTATCATAGAAAAAATCTTGTCTACATACATGATATAGTACATATACTTTAGAACAGTTGGTTTATATTGGATATACAATAAAGGTTTGACAGGTCAATGCAACACTAAAAATTTACTAATGTTGTTTCACCACAAATTATATAGATTTTTCACAAGAAAAACTTTATCCAAAATGCATGTTAACATCTTTATGTTGGCTAAAATTCAAAAGTTTCCTGTTGGGATTATTAAAGAAAAATGAGTTTAGAATTTCCAGCTCACAATTAGCCAATTTTCATACAAGTACTTAATAATTTAAAACATAAGTTATTATGACTACATATTGTCTAAGTGCTTGTAAATTTCTGTTAAATCTTGATCATAAAATGTAGTGTGTGTGGTACCAGCACTTGTATCTGAAAAAGATACCGATATACCTTGGTTTGAAATTATGGTACATGTATGTAGGTCAAAATTTGTTCAGAGACAAGTGCCTGTTGTTTGTGTGTGGGAGGATTGAAAGAGGACCAAAATTGCTTTTGTTTATATGAACAATTGAACAATTTTAAAATTTTGGCACCTGTGTGTTTAATCCAGGTCCCCTTGACTAAAACCTTCCATTCCAATGATTTTGATATACATGTTTAAGATCTAAAGCATTGTTGTATGATTTCAAACATTTTAATTCTGCACATGTATATTTTGTGTAGATTGAGAAACAAATTATTTTTTAATAAACCTTAAAAAATTCACTGATTTATGATTTAATTTTCTAAAATTCTTTCAACATTGTTCAAGCAAAAAAGCAAATAAAATGAGGGTTTCAGGGAACTAAGCTATACAGGCTTACAGTGTATATGATTAGAAAAAAGCTGGAATTTTGGTCGTCTGTCTGGCATGCAGATTTTAAAATTTATAAATGTATTGCAAATAAGTCAAACAATGTGATTGCTCATACAAATCTAATGTGATTGTTCCTCATACAAATCTGCTCCACAACTGGCAGTCTGCAGAATCCTGCTAATGTCAGTGAAGAATATTAGGGAAATTTAAAGAGATAAATGAAATTCAACGAATCAAAGCCTTATCTGCATTCTCCAATGCAACTATACCTTCTATCAAAATCTGAAGATATTTTTGTTTACAAAAACCTGAATTTTTGAAATCTATAAAGGAGACCCAGATTTTGACTTCTGACTGGTCAAATCTGTGAAGGAAAGCAACAACTTGTGTATGCAACCCACAAGTAAAACATGTTTACCTTAATATAACATATATGAACAAACAAATCTGAGACCAGTACCTGTGATGCAACCACTTACATGTACTAATGTAGTACTATAACCAACAATGTACATGCACATTCATTTGTTTTTTTTAGTCCACATGAAGCAATTATATATTTCATTACTTTGTATTGAATTTTTTCTGTGTGGGATCCATGTTCTGATACACCAGAACTGGTGCCTGCCACCTCAGGCAAAACATATTTGACAAGATTATGTAAGTTTTTATCACCGGTGCAAGCCATTGGTATTATAAATCACAATGCTCCTTTCATTAACCAGGTTTTCCTTAAAGGAAATACCAGTTATTAAATTGGCGAATAAAATTTAAATTATGTTGTTACTGATGATAAATGGAGGTCAAGTTTAAAATTGATGATTTTCACTTTTACTGTTAAGGAGTTACATGTATGGTTCTTGATAGATTGGGGAAAATGGCACTTTTTCTGTGCAATATCATATGAACCTTATAGCTATAACAAATGGTTTTCAAATTTTAATATATTGTTACTTATGACAAAAAGTGGTCAAGTTTTTTTACTTTTTCCATTCAATAGTTATGGTCCTTGATTGATTGGAAAATGGCATTTTGTGTTGTGTCCATGCAATACCTTATGAACTTTTCACCTATGCATATCAAATTTCAATACGTTGTTCCTGAAGACAAAATGGAGGTCAAGTTTAATACTGATGATTTTCAATTTTGCCATTCAGGAGTTGTGGTCCTTGATAGATTGGAAAATGGCACTTTATGCTGCTTCTATGCAATTAAACCTTTGAACTGTTCAGCAAATAGTTTTCAAATTTTGTATATGTTGTTACTGATGACAAAATGGAGGTCAAGTTTGATATTGACTATTTTCACTTTTTCTGCTCAGACAGGACATATGTTCCTTGATAGATTGGAAAATAGGCACATTTGTTAAAAATATTTCTGTACTTCATGTATACCTTACAACAAAATTATTTTTATTTACCTGTGTACGTTATTTTATTTGACGGCATTTTGTCCAAGGTTATGGTTGTCTTTCTGATATTGTTTTACATCTCCCCACCCCCTTTTTTTTAATAATTTTGTATTAACATTGTGTCATAGATCAATTTTATTCGTTCAGTGTATGTTTACTTGTTTTTGTTAGTCCCCTACCGATGAAGTCGAAGGGGACTTTAGGTTTGCACTTTGTCCGTCTGTCTGTCCGTCTGTCTGTCCGTCTGTCAGTCCGGCAAATCAGTTTTCCACACTTTTTTTCTTCGTTCTTGAAGCTTTTGATTTGATATTTGGTTTATAGTTTTGCCATGACAAGTTATAGATCAAGTTTGAATTTTGTTCCGGTCTGATGATTTAGTCCAGAGTTATGGACCATAACTCTGGACCATATCTAATGTTAGAGTACTATGTTAAACCATATTTCTGTACAAAGGGAGATAACTCATTTTTTAAAAGACATTCTTTGGTAAATTATTTGAAGAATTTTTTTGGCAGGTTTGTTTGTTATTTTGTATAAACTTAATTTTCTGAATGCTATATATATATAAAAAAAATTATGAAGTGAAATCCTTTTATAATTAGATAATAATCTATTTTTATTAATGTATATATAACATTACATTGTGTAGATAAAAATTGTTGACATTTTATAGATAAGTTACAAATCTATATTAGTTTGTGACAAATAAAAGAAAAAATATTTGGAACTATTAATTATATTTGATTATAATTTGAAAAAAGATATACACTGTATTACATCATATCTAATTTTAGAGAACTATTAATCATATCTAATGTTAAAGTGTTTTCCACACTTTTTTTCATCATGCTTGAAGTTATTGATTGATAATTGGTATATAGTTTTATCATGACAAGTTATACAGATCAAGTTCGAAATTTTGTGCAGAGCTATGGTCCTTGGACTTGAAAAATTCACTCATTTAATCAGTTTTCCACACTGTTTTTAGTCATGCTTGAAGATATTGACTTGATATTTTCTTTTTGTTTACACCATGACAAGTTATAGAACAAGTTAGCTAAAAAAGTATTAGCTTTTTGTTCCAGTATAATGAATTTTTACCCGGTAGGGTACTATGTTTTGCCATGCAATGCTCTCAGAATGCTTGTTAATATGTCTTTTGATTGAGTTAAGCCAATTCAATTGATATTTTATAGTGTGTCTTTCTGTGTTGTGATGTTTTACTATGTGAAGGTTTGCACCTGTTAAAACGTTTAAACCCACTGCATTTGTTTGCACCTGTCCTAAGTCAGGAACTTGTTGTTCAGTGGTTGTTGTTTGTGGATGTGGTTCATAAGTGTTTCTCGTTTCTCGTTTTTTATATAGATTAGACCTTTGGTTTTCCTGTTGAATGGTTTTACACTTGTCATGTTGGGGCCCTTTATACCTTGCTGTTCGGTGTGAGCCAAGGCTCCGTGTTGAAGGCCGTACTTTGACCTATAATGGTTTACTTTTACAAATAGTGACTTGGATGGAGAGTTGTCTCATTGGAACTCATACCACATCTTCTTATATCTACATAATGTGGCAGGTCAAACAAACTTGAAAACTCCACACATTAGAATACATCAATTTCATTCATACTCGCTGCCCTCTTAAAGTCAACAATGGTTACCTTAATAAAAAAAAAAACAGAAAACCTAGTTTGCTGTCAATTTGACAGCTCATTTTTTGTTGATTTTGAAAAGAGTAGACTTATTTCCTATTTATAAATGAATGGTGTAAATGTCAATGAGACAGCAACTGAATGACACTATACAACTAAAATACATATAGAGGTCAATGCTAAATCATACCATGTCTAGAAAGTTTCTTGA